TATCTATCTATCTATCTATCTATCTATCTATCTATCTATCTATCTATCTATCTATCTATCTATCTATTTTCTTTGCTGTAGCTCCTGAGACTAACAGGGTTCCCCCCTATCTTTAAGGTTTCCTTTTGCTTTGATTTGGGATTACTGGCGTACATGTAGGGAAAAGTTTAAAAGCTCACTCAGTGTGTATACCTCTGATGAAGTGCGTGCAGAGAGCACCTGTGGACATTGAGAGGTACCCACTACCTGGGGCTCAGCAAGGCTTAAGTGAACACCGCTTCCTGTTAGGGTTGAGCTGTGTGTGTGCCAGAAGTAACTGAAGCGAAGGGCGCACTGCCTACTTTAACCAGCGTTCTTTCTTTCTTTTTTAAAGAATTGCCTACTTTATGTATGTGAGTGTTTTATCTGCATTTACACCTGACAGAAGGCAGCTGGGGAAAGACCCCAGTTACGGATATGATGCCACCTGACTGTGATTCAGGTTCTGAAGAGCCACCACAGGCCTCAGGACTGAGGCAGAGAACTCCACTGTCCTCCGTGACTCATTACTTTAGCGGGCCTGCCTGAAGGCAGCAAGAAGCCTGGCATCTCCGTCACAGATCTTCACACCCTGGCAGCTCTAGTGACAGACAAGGAGACTGTCGTGAGCAGGTGTGGGAGTCAAGAATCAACAGGATTTGGTCACTGGAGAGTCAATCCCAGATGTGTGGTGGAGCAGCTTGAAGGGGATCATGCATTGTGCTGGGCAGTGACTCCAGAAGGGAAGATGGAAGTCAGCAGGAGAGGCTCCGTTCTGGACAAGCTGAGCTTCAGGCACCCACTGACATCCAGGTGGATGGCCCGTTTCCACTTGGGCCTGGAACTCTGCTGTGAAGTCTAGGTCTTAGGATAGGTTAAGGACTAACAGCTTAAATGAAAGAAGTGAGAGTTGCCAGGAACAGTGGAGAGGTTTGTAGCTTCCAGTGACCAAGGAGGCCTCAGCAAAATGGTATTTGATGCTCATTAAAATGAGATCTAAAAAATCTACAAAATCTGAATATTCTCCCACCATGTTTATTTTCCATCAGAGAGGAACTAAGAGAAAGTGTATCATGCTCCATATTTCATCATGAATCAAATTTGTAGCAGAAAATCAAGAGCTTCTTGGCTGTGGTCTCTTTGGCCCCTTGTGAGACAGCTTGAAGAATATTTGTTTGCTTGCTTGTTTATTATTGCATTCTGGTCTCAGGTTTCCCTTTCTCCACTCCTCCCACTCACTTCCCCCCAGCTCTCCTCTCTCCCTCAGATCCGTTCCTTCATTTCCCTCTCAAAAACAAACAAACAAACAAAGAAACAGGTCTCTCAGGGATACCAACTGAACACATCATCACAACAATAAGACTAGGTTCAAGCCCTTATATCAAGGCTGGATGAGGCAACTCAGTAGGTGGAAAAGGGTCCCACTTGCAGGCAAAAGAGTCAGAGGCACCCTGACTCACTGTTAGGCGCCCCACACAAACACCCAGCTACACAACCATAACATATGCAGAGGACCTAGCTCAGACCTATACAGGGCCTGTGGCTGTTGCTTGCGTTTCTGTGAGCCTATGAGCCTGCCTAGTTGATTCTCTGGGCCTTGATCTCATGGTGTCCTTGACCCCTCTGGCTCCTGCAGCCTTGAAGGGACCTTTAAATGTCAACTTCCTATTTCACTGCTTACACTGTAGTACATGTTTATGAAAACTCCTGCTTGCTAGGCACCCATTCATTGCTTACTAGCCTTGTATCAGTATCGGGCCTGTTGACCTACAGGCTCTTTGGAAGCAGAAGACCATCTGCCCAGTGCTGCCACTGGGACAGCTTTCCCCCTAACCATAATGAAATCACTAAAGTCACTTCCTGCTCGCAGCCCTTGTCCAGATCTTCTATCTACAATAAACAGGAGGATATTAAAATGCTTGGTAAAGTCCACATGCTCTTTCATCCTGTCCCACAAGGCTTTGTGTTCCAGTCATGGAAACAACAAATAACAGGTGACGTCAAGCCTATTGTAATAAAAGAAGGCTGCTTATTAAACTGTCTGCTCCAGCTGTTTTTCCTTTGACATCATGGGATCCGTTTATAACCTTTTATGGCTTTCCCCTTCGAGCTCCACACCCATATGATTGCCGGAGATCATGGGGTTTTGGAAACAGTCTCTTAAACTGAACCAGCACCGTCCCGCGCAGGCCCAGTTGCACAGACTTCAGGGGCAGGATAGGGGAAGAAAGGGAGGAGAGGCTGTGTGCTTTGGAGGAGTGTGACTTGCTCAGGCCGGAAGGGTCAGGGAAGAGAGTGTGTGGGTAGCCCAGTGTGCATGTGTAGCCACACAGTGAATCCATACTCTACGACTTCATCATGCCAATCACCGTCTCCATGGCAGCACTACATCATGAAGCTGCTTTTGGACACTTCACCATTTGAAGAATTCAGTGTCTCTGGGGGCTCACTCTTCCTTGAGCCTGTAT